GCGTTCGCTGGCGTTTAGGTCTGTGCGGCGAGAAAGCGGTTAAGTAGGTGTTTAAGGAGATCAAATATTTTGTAAGACAAACCACCTCCACGAGCTTTCGCAATGGAATCCAACTCGTCGAAGAATAGCACGCATGGAGCGGCAGCTCGAGCTTTATCAAACACGTCGCGGACATTAGCCTCTGATTCTCCAAACCACATCGTCAAAAGTTCAGGTCCCTAAACTTACATATGTTAATTGCAGAATTTTTAGATACAAAATACAATATTAATATAAAACCTTGATAGATATGAAGTTGGCCTGGCATTCATGGGCAATGGCCTTGGCCAGTAAAGTCTTTCCACAACCGGGTGGTCCGTAGAAAAGCACACCACGTGAAGGCTGCATTCCGAACTTCAGATACTTTTCAGGGTGCTCGACTGGGTATTGCACCAGCTCTTGAAGTTCACGCTTGACATTTTGAAGACCTAAAATAGAATCTCGCTTGAAAATCGCTTCGTAACAAACATGTAGATAGTGTTACCCATTTCGAATTCATTACACCTAGTTTCGCTACGTTTTCTGGATTGGATGCGGATTACCTCTAGTCTTTTCTCACGTCACTATGCCAACCCATAACTAAGTGGCGTTGAGAGAGCACCGGACAAAATCATACTCTTTTGCTTGTCCCTTGGTCAATAAGCCGCAATCGTGACTGGACGATTGCACGAGATGCCGCCTCTCTCCGCGGCTCGCACGAGGTTACTTTTTTTGTTTTTTTTTTTTTGATAATTTGACTCCTTTACCACCAGCTGGCATTAGCTTGCACTGTACGTATAAAAATGTGAAAGGTATGATGCGGTCATAGAAATGAGCGCAAAGTCCAGTGAGGCTGCATGCCCATCTCATTACCATGTAACCTGGGTGATTCGTCTAAAATTAACCGCGAAATGGACCCGATTGACACGGAACTAAAAGGCTAATTGAAGCACTGTAAACAGGGATTAACCATGTCGAAAGTAGACGCGCGAGTCGTACAACGACTTCACAAGCAAAAGCCAGTTGAATTAGGGGAGGTATTTTATCATTATTAGAGATCACATAAAAAGTGCGCAACTACGTAAGCAATCTTTTCACGCTCAAATATGACCAGTCTTCAATGACCTCACAACATACCTCCGATGTCGTCCCAGGTGATGTTTGGAGTCTCTACAACTGTCTCACGCAGTGCTGACGGCGAAGATTTGCCCATTGGCAAACTAAAAAATTGTGTGTTTAAAAAACAATGGAACCATGAACCATGGCGTGCACATACCCTGAAGTTTTCCATCGATACTGCCAGCGAGTTGAGCACTTCGGCGTCGATAGTATCGTCTTCAAGATCAATGAGATCCATTTTCTCTCGAATCTGTTGCAATGCAGCCTCGGAGCACAGCGATGCAAGATCAGCACCAACGTATCCGTGGCACTCGTTGCAATCTGGAAGCGCTAACCTCAAAATTACTGGTCCTAAAAGTCCTATCAACGATTTGTGTGAAACTGCATTTAGTGTTAGTTGTTTTTGTTTTGGTAGCCAACGCTAAATAATAGAGTATGGAAAGGAACGACCTCTCCTAACCTCACCGCGACCAAGTAATCTACACCACCTGATTGAACCTTCCAATTTGAAAAAAAAAATGTTCTGTTTGATGCACTTCAGTTTGGATCAGCGTCGCAGGAGACTGAAAGACACACCTTGCTCCAAATCGACATCGTCAGCGAGTTTCATATTCTTCGTATGTATACGAAGTACCTCGAGACGTCCAACCGCGTCAGGAATACCGATATCAATTTCCCTGGAAGAGATTTTCGTTAGCAGAACTTGCAGCTCATATAAAAACGAGAGTCAGTTCAAACCTGTCAAAGCGGCCGAAGCGTCTCAATGCAGCATCAATGGAATTGGGCCTGTTTGTGGCCGCAATAACCACAACGTGAGATCTCTGCTTTAGGCCATCCATGAGAGTGAGTAATTGTGAAACGAATACGACGCTCAACCTCTCCATGTGTCTGAAATGAAAACTCTGGTTTTTGGAGAAAATTTATAGCAAACGGTATGCTCCACATACCTTCTCACGCTTTGGAGCAATGGCATCGATCTCGTCAATGAAAAGAATTGCGGGCGAGTTTTTCTCGCATTCCTCGAAAGCCTTACGCAGATTTGACTCTGATTCACCAGCAAGTTTCGACATAATCTCGGGCCCTGAACACTTGAGCTCACACATGTCCTCGAAATTCATGACCTTCATGGTCACTTACCATTGAGCAGGAAGAAGAACGCTCCAGTCTCGTTGGCAACTGCTCTAGCTATGAGGGTTTTACCCGTTCCCGGAGGACCAAAGAGTAGAATTCCTCGAGGCGGCTTGATACCAATAGCTTTGAATAGCTGAGGATGACGAAGCGGAAGTTCAACCATTTCTTTGATCTGTGCCAGTTGCTTGCGAACCTGAATCAAATATTTGCTAGGAAACAAAATAAATAACAACAAGCATAAATTAACTCTGAACTAACACCGCCGATATCGTCATATCCAACGTCGTTCATATTCTCCTCCTCTTCCTCACGCTTGATAGCTTCTCCTTCGTAGTGGATAACAGTATCAGGAGCGACAATGCATGATGGAGATGGATCGGTTTCGACTACCTAAATAAACAAAAAATAGAAAACTAGAGGTTGTAACGTTACCAGATAAAGCCGAAACTTCGCATACCTTGAACTCAACAGTGCGCATTGCAGCTTGAACTGTGAAAATGTCACCTTTATGAAGAGGCCTATACGCCTCAACAAAATACGGCTTGAGGAAGACTTCGAAGAGGTTTCTAAAAATAGGAATGTAAACTATTAACAGAGAATGGGAGCTAATTCAATCTACCCTGTAAGTCCTTCAACAGTGTCATCAATCGGAAGGACATGCACTCGTCGGCCATACCCAATGTTTGGAGCTGCTGTTACGCTAAAGAAAAGTCCTTGTCATGAATAGCTTGATCAGGTACACCAAGCCTATTTCGCAATCACAATTTCGCAACAACAATTACCTCACGACATCTCCAAGACGTACGCGTAGATTATGACGAACCACACGATTCATTCTGATTTTGTCGTTAGAACAGTTATCATCAGCAAGGACGATGGCAACAGTCTCCTTTCGCTTTTTTCCCTGCAAACGCATGCTGCATTAACATTTGTCACAATTCATTTTAAGCTGCAAATTTGGAGGAAAAAATGCGGTGAACATAGCTCGAAGCTTACGAAGAAGTCCATTTGAATTTCAATTTATAAAGGGGGAGCATATTTCAAGGCCGCAACAGTTGTGCGTCTACAATAAGCTCGATTTCGCAGTGAAGATAGGCGATGTGTTGCAAACCACTTCATTATGCAAAGGGAACTAGGTTGATTAATTTCTAAAAGCCTTAAAAAGAGATATCTGTCGCTTTTCAAAAAGCTAAGCGCCTGCACAAATGCCCTACACTCCACTCAGAAAAAGCTTATCAGGTCTCTCTTCTGATGCATGGTACTGAATCACCTGCTGAACACTTACGTATAAACCCACACCAGATAAAAAAGCAACGCGGAAACAAAGCGTAAGAAACCAACTTGAGCACAACAGGGCTATCTACCTTCGGAACCAGTGCGAGCGTCGTCCATCTTCGCTTGGTGAGAGCAATTGATAGAATGTGTCATCTTGTACTTTAGATCAACAAATGAGCCGTTCGGTGTAATTTATCCTTTCAATCGTGTGTGCAGAGCCTCATATTTTCTTTTCTTCTTCCCCGTCGCGTTGGCACAGGATTGAATCACAGAATTACTAACTGAGCTGACTACAACGCACATATCCATAGACAACAACCACTGCGAATTAAAACAATAACGAAAAGAACTCACGTCGGTACTGAAGCCATAATGCGAACAGCTGCTTATCGGAATCCCAGAGATGAACCTCAACAAAGCTGATCGTGCTGACGATTTCTTTCAAATGATGACAATTCAACTGAGAATCATACACGCCGCAAAAGTGTACGGCATACTACGGTATTTCGTATGATTAGAGCAGGAAGATAGCGATAGCGCGCGTAATTCGACTCCACCAGTGTTGTCACATGGTGGCTACTATTGTGGCACCTCTCCCGCTTTTGCAAGCATCTGATGGATATAGCTGAATTATGAGTAGAGGGAGGATTCGGGCAAAATTAGTTGGCCAATAGCCCTTCTCGCAGGGCGCAAGATTCACTCCAAATATTTAGATTATGTGCGGACTCCGGCATGAGGTGGTGCGATAAACGTATTTACCTTTCACTCCTCCTCCTCTATAATCTACACAGAACCTCTGCAAAAATTACGCAGAAGCATCCCACCACCTTTCACAATTCGATGCCTCTCTCGAAAACACTCCCATCACTATGAGACCATTAGGTGTATTCACACCCACTCCACCACCCTCTGAGGCCGTATGCTGAATGTTGGGGAGGGGACGGGGATGGGAAAGGTTGGGGAGGTTCGTCGCAGGACCCACTGGGCAACGGTCGCACCTTTGATTTTGCAGCTTTGTTTCCATCCTTTTACTGTTTCTGATTGTATATTCGCTCGTAAATACCTTTCTTTATTCCAAAACAGCGATGAAAGAATGGAAACAAGCTGCAAAATCAAAGGTGCGGCCGTTGCCCAGTGGGTCTGGCGACGAACCTCCCCAACCATTCTCCTCCATCCCGTCCCACCCCCATAATTCAGCATAGGGGCTGGGCACATCCTCGAAGGGAGGTCTTTCAGGACATGGAGCGCTTTTCCAAAATGATTTCCTGCATTTTGTAGAGACTCATGCGAGGAACACAGAACCATGGTCCGTTTTTCCTGAACGCTTCTAGGAAGGTCAGAATAGTGGAGAAGAGATGGTCCAAAGTTCGATCCTCCGTGATGTCTAATTTTTGCAATTTATGTTGGCGCCTCCAAATTGTGTCCAAATGGCACCAGCGTCGATTAACATCCTCGTAATTTGGCGACAATTTGGAGGCTCCAACATGGATTGCAAAAATTTGTCACCACGGCGGATTGAACTTTGGACCATTTCTTCACCACTGTTTTGAGGTTCCCAGAAGTGTTCAGGAAAAATGGACCATGGTTTGTTCCTCGCATGAGCCTCTACAAAGTGCAGGAAACATTTTGGAAAAGCGCTCCATGACCTGAAAGACCCTCCTTGTTAGATTGATGTCAACTTGGCCAACTTCTTCAGATCACATCATAGCACTGGCTCTTTCACACGACGTTATGGTCCAACCGACCTCGTTTGCTTCAAAGTAGTGCGTTCCCTTCACAGCCAATCATAGGCTTTATTTTGCAATAGCAGTCTTCAGAAGTCAAGGTGTCTAATACCTAAAATGTCGGTGATATGCAAACGAAAGCTATGCAATTTCTGGCTTCAGTGCCATGGTACTCTATACTAGAAAAGGAACGGCACTATCAGTTTCCGCAGTTTAAAGTGCCCACTAAGGGATGTATGCTTCTTCTTCTCCCTAGCGTTAGTCCCGCGCAGTCGCAGGGTCCGCTGTCTTTGTCAGTCGTCGCCACTTTGCTCTGTCCAGGGCATCTTCTGCTGTGGCCGTGACCTCACTTAGGTCCTTCTTGATTACGTCTCTTCCACCTCTTCTTTGGGGCTCCTCGCGGTCGCTTGCCTTGCACTTCGAAGTCCATCGCTGTTCTTATCGGATGATCCTGTGGCCTCCTTAGCACATGCCCATACCATCGCAGACGCTGTTCCCGTACCTTCAGCTGGACAGGGGCAGTCTGCATGACCGCTCTGTCCTCGTTTCTAACCTTGTCCAGCCGCGTCCAGCCGCAGGCCCATCTCAGCATCCTCATCTCAGCGGAGTGAAGCTGCCTTTCGTGATCCTTGTTAG